TCTATTCAGTCATGACATACGTATTAATTCGTTAGATCGCTGTTAGTGAGAAAGTACAATAGATAATGCAATAATTTTATTTCCAAAAATAACAAAAATAAATAATTTATATTAATTATACATATGTATGTTGTATAAAACTTACGCTCAGAGTAACTCCTGCTACGCTTGGTCATTAAGAAAGTTTATCAATATTTGGTGTTGGTCACGTACTCACAAGGTTTTAACATTTGGTTTTTATTGCTTTTATGTACGACTAAATAAAGCGAGGGATCCAAAATTTTTTTAATTAACAACATTTTTTATCAAATTTACACTAATAATTTTGAAACAAGCTAAAAGCTAATAAACTCCAATAATAAAAAAAAACAAAAAAAAACAATTAAAATTGATAAACTTATTGCTTGTCATGCGTATATCGCACATATTCATAATTAATTTTAATAATTAAAAAATAACAGGAGTATCAAGATATTATGGCACTGCCCATATTAGCACTCTAAGGATTGTAGAGTAGTAGTCCGAATGAACATAAGCGCTAAAAAAGAATGTGGTATTCAAAATTCTTAATTCAATCTGTTATTTCAAAGAGCAGCAAAAAATAATTAAAGAATAATTCGCTTATTATTATTTATCCCAAGATGAATAATTTTTCCGAATTAATATCAAAATGTTTACCATCATTCTCGTAAACATCAAAATGTTTACAAAATGTTATATTTATAAAGAACAATACGTAACAGGCATAAATATTTAAATAGGCAAATAATAAAAAAATGAGAAACAATATTATGTCATTTTATATGCGGTAAACATATTGAAATAAGTAAACAAAAGTATTAATAGAATTACTAATTAACCAGTAAATTAACTGGTTAATTCGCTTCGTTAGTTATAATTTCAAATGTGGGAACGCTTTCGCTCATACCGCTTACAGCAATGCTAGCTGCACTGCTAAGCTGGCTGGACTGTAACCTTAACAGAATTATGTTATGCATGAATAAAATCAAACTGTTAGCCTGATGCCTGAAGCATCAAAAGACACGATTAGAGGATATGAATTTATGAAGATCTGTTACTTATCAATTAGAATAAAAGCTAGAATATATTTTTTACTTGCGTATCTGTATTCTAACATAGTTGTGGTTGTGATTTTGGATGAAGTACCAAGTAATGAACCGCTTTTAGGAAACACATTTATATCAGTTTCTTATTAATGTACAATCTAGTGTGAAGCTATGTCAGTTAATTTGTTTAAAATTTTTCATTTAGTAATAATAATAGTGAAATTAATTACACAAAATCTTAGCTTATTAATGGGAAATAAATGCGTTAAAAGTGATGCATCAGAGCAGATAGAAAGTGCCACCGCAGCACTTTTTTAAAAATATCATTCAAACATTTAAAAATGAATAGCTGCGATAAAAGTAATTGAATGATTTTATTTATTATTTATTGTTTTCATTTCAGTAACAGTAGTTTTACTTTTTTCTAGTAAAGTATTTTGATTACTAATTTTACGTTATATGATATCCTTACTTGTTGTTTGTACGAAATTCTATCACACAAAATTTTTTTTTTTAATGCAATTTCGATGCAATTTCTCTTCTTCGATGTCGATGCGTTCAATTTGTTTTTGTAATGTTTCTTTTCTTGTTTTTTTCTTGTTTTTTTCTTGTTTTTTTGTTGTTTTTTTTTTTTGGATATTTATTAGTTTTGTTTTTCTGCAATAATTTTAATCAATTTTTAGTAGTAATTCATTTTATTCACAATTTATAAATATTATCAAATAAAATTGATTTCATAAATAAATTAAGACAATAAATATTTATTCATTTATAAAAATATTAATAAATAACTCATTGATTGAAATATTATAATTCATAATTATAATAATTATAATTATTATACTCGATAATTATAATATCGAGTAAACATGCGGCAATTTTCGACCGCACGAATCTCACTGATATTTATTTGAAAAGAAGAAACACAATCGAATCTAAGCGAGAAGAATATCGATAAATATAGTGGGGAATACAAATAATTTTCATCCACCAAGTTGGATAGAGTAAGGTTCATCAAATAGTTGATAGGGTTGAATAAATAAATAAATTAGAAGGCAATTAAAAAATTGTTTTTAAACAATAATTTATAATATTCAAATACACTAAATAAAATTAATGTAAGTTAATTAACTTCCCAGAAATTACATAGTCGTCAGTATTCGACTATACAACCTGTTTTGATAAAAAAAATTTGAGACCACATTAATATATGTATATTAGTTCAATTTATTTAATATGCGAAATATAAAATTTGTTTAAAATATTTGCATAATTACAGTACAACCTCAAATACTAGAATTATTATAATTTCTTTATTTATTATATATAATTATATACTTATTATATTATTTCAAATATCGAAACTCCCGTAATTTCCCAACCTCTTAAATCTTCTCTTTATTACTTTTAATATGACGACTTTTAAAATTGATTATCGTAAAGAATGCAAATTTTGAAAATTTTTCTCGTTTCGCTCTAATATTCAAATTAACCCCTACTGTGTGGATGAATGATTATACTATGGAAAATATATCTGTTCCTGACCAAATTGACATTGATTCACACTTACAAACTGAGGTAAGTGCATGTAACGGCTCGAAAAAAGTTCTGCATCTGTTACCAAAGTCTTGAATCTATTTTAATTAAAAAATAAGGCAGCAATGATAATCTTCCTTGCAAAAAAAAGCAAGTAGCAATAGCAAGATTTTATCATAGAGTATAGAGTAAGTAATAGAGTAAGTACAAAGCTTATATTTTTTTTTTTAATTACATATTCATTATATGTATACGTATTCTTTATTAAAGTTTTTATTAATTTCACCATCTTATTTCATTTTTAAATATTTGAATACAGTAAATAAAATAAACTCGATCAGTGCAACAGACTTGGCTTAAATTAGTTACTTTAATTTAATTTGTACTTTATTTAAAATTAATAAATAATTATTAATAATTTCTATTTGACCAAAATTTAATTTTACTTAAAAAGTCCTTTGAAATTATTTAATTAATAACACAGTTTAATGTATTATAGCGGAATAAAAATCACAGGAGCTATATTATTATGCGGAAATTAATGTATTGTATTATCTTAATTTCTTAAGCCGAAAAACTTGAAACTTATTGTGGAAAAATTATTTTTTTTCTATATAATTTTCTAATGTCAATATTTTTGAATTCAATTCCAGCTTGCTGCGTTGAATGAATGTTGACGGCTATAATATAAACATAAAACAATATCTTACTTTTTCTTTAATTACACAGATTTATGTTTTTCGTCGCCTTTAAAATCTGAAGTAAAAAATTTTTGTAACAAAGCTATAACGAATTTTTTTTTAAATACAAAGTAACTGGAATTTTAATTAAAATATTTCAATATTAATTTATATATAAAATTTTAGTTGAATTTATTGTTAAATATCACACAAGCATTTGCGAAATTATATGATGTGTAAGAAATATACAATGTACATGAGTATGTATGTTAGGAACATATACACACTTAACATACAAGACATTCTGTTGGCTGCAGTGGGTTGTGCATTTGAACATAATGCTAATTCTTAAATGTTATGTTATTATGTTTCAAATAAAAACCAACATCGGCGCTGTAAGACTAATTCCAAATGTAATTATTTTTAAAAAATGTAACCCACACTTCAGGCCATATATTAACATATGTATATTTAAATCTTGGTTTCCTGCTGAATTTTCAGTTCTTATTTGCATAAGAAACTTAGGTTTTCATGGTACTTCAATATAACATACCATCGTATGAACCGCATGTATCATCTTGTCACGATGACGACATACGTAGTTGCTGGCGAACGCTATGGTCAGAAAGATATTTGGTGACGATGCTATGTTACAACCATGATTTTATGAATTGTGTGAACGATTTTAAAACACCCAACAAGATTTTGTGGATGGACTAAGCTGTGGTCCTACTTCTTGTAATCAATAAAATTATAATTAAAAATAAAAGTAAACTAAGCAGATGATATTTACTAATGAAGGAATTATCATTAGATATATTTTAACAATATATCGAATATCATTTTTGAATTTTTTAAGAAACATAACACTGTAATATCACAATCGTGACTTTTTCTATCTACGAAACTCAAAAATATACTTTAAGAATAAGTATTTACAGTAATATGCAAGCAAGCTTAAGATCACACCTAAGAGGAGTTCTACCAGTGTCAAAGTGATAATTATAGTAACCTAACTGCATTTTATCAGAGGAGATTTTTCAGATGTTTTCAAAAAGATAAGATGAACAT